AAGTTTTATCGCCCACAGGTTAATAAACGTTTTTTACTTTTTTTTTTTTTTTTTTTTAATAACATGAATAGAAGACAATTGAATTATTGTATTTGTTATTCATGATTTTATAGTCGAGGAGAAGGTTCCAAAAAAGATCCTTTGGAAGAAGAAAGATTACTTAGGTTATTTGTAGTTTGCAAGAAAACAAGTACTGTCGAAGATATTGAAGCACATTTTAAAGAGTTTGGAGATATTGACAATATAAAATTGGTAAAAAACAGAGACACCAATGAAAATAAAGGTTTCGCTTATGTCAAGTATTACAAGTAAGTATGTAAGTTTTTGACATTTAGTTTTACGAATAATTTACAATAAACATTTTATTATCGTTTTTTTAAGAATGTATCATGCAGCTTTGGCTTATGAGCAGTGTGATAGAAGTTATAAACCAAAATTTGCAGAACCCAAACCTCAAACTCCCAGGTTTAATAATGGATATGATTCATATGATAGGTATGAGGGTCCTGGCTATGGTGCAGGTCCCTCGGTTGGATATGATAATTACAAAATAAATAGTGGTAAATACAATCTTCTTTCTATGAAATATTGTGCGGAAGTGAAATAAAGCGAAATGAAGAAAATAAGTGTTACATTTAATTTTTTTTGTTTTGTAAGGTGTTCCGAATAGTGTTACCAGTTTTGTCAATAATTATCCTTTGAAAGGAGAACCATTTACAAAACTTCAAGTTTTGGTTTCCCTCATGGTAACTCAAGAGCAATTATGGAGAATTTTCGATATTGCTCCCGGAATGGAATATTGCAGGATATTTCCTGATTTTCGTGCAAAAGCTGTATGTCTTGAATTCAATTATAATTTGTTATTGTGTGGTGTGAAATGAATATCGTTAAATATTAAAATTAATTTTTAGGAAAGGCTTTTAGCAAGTGTTGCTTATTCTACTCCCCAACAAGCAGCTTATGCCAGAGATAAAATTCATGGATTTGAATATCCTCCAGGTCAGCATATGATTGTAAGACCTGATTATTCGGAAAATACGCAAAGAGTACAACAAATTCCTCCTCCTATTTCCATGCCATCATTTTCTGGATTGAACAGCAATAATAGTAATTTGAGTAAAGCTGACATTGAATTGTTAGCAGAAAATGTAAAACAAGCAACTGCATTCCTTAAAGCTCACACAAGTTTTTCTGGTTTATCACCTGCTAATTACGATCCAAATTACTGCACAGCCAAGCTTCCTCCTGTTCGAAAATTTGAAAACGAAGAAGACAACACTGGGTAAATATTTTATTTGGTTTTAAAAATACCTTTAAATTATTATTATTCTTTTTTTTTCGAGTGTAGTTAAACAGGAAAGTTTTTTTTATTTTTTGTAGAGTTGAAGCTCGACTTTTTGTAGTATTTAATCCTGGCATTCCTGAGAGATATGCTATCAAGGACGTCTTTGGTCGTTTTGGTAAAATAACTGACATATTTTTGTTGGTAGGAAAAAACGTAGGCTATATATCGTATAATAGAAAAGAAGCTGTCAAAGATGCCATCGAGGTTAGTAAATTTTAACTTTGTCAATTTTTTATATATTACTACTTTCATTTTTTTTTTTTTTTTGATTATCAAAAGTTAATATAAAATTGCATTTTTTTTTTTTTGTTTTTAGGCTCTCCATGGGCACGAATTGTGCGGAATGTACATGAAAGTAATGGAAGCAGAGCCTAGACGGACACCAGGAGGGCCAGATGAAGATAGACGCAAACGTTTAAAATTACAAGATGACTAAAAAACGGTAAGTTTAAAATTAATAATTTTTATGTACAGGTATTTTTTTTAAAGTAAGCCGACCATATTGGTTTTTTTTTTTTTTTTTTTCTTTGTATTGATATAAGGTTGATCAATAGTTTTTCCTTTTCTTTTACACAGACCCACAAAAAAAAAAAAAAAATAATGACATAATTAAAAAAAAAAAACAAAAATAAAATGTGTATCTAAACGTCAACGACAACCAACTGTAACCAAGACAAAAAAAAAAAAAGACCTTCGCAACTTCTCCCGCCAAAGGACCATGGGATAAAAAAAACCGACATGACGGGACACGTCGTTTTTTCTAACAAAAACCAAAACGAATATAAATAAATAAACAATATTTAAAAAAGGGACGTATATATCACAAACATCACAACAACAAAAAAAAATTAGTGGTATAAAATGTACGAGGAATATTATTATTTGTTATTAAAAATTATCATTAGAAATAACAGAACGAGAAGACAGAAGCAGAAGGAAATAAGGAACCACGGAATCACGTGACCGATAACGAGAAAAAAAAAAAAAAAAAGTTTTTTTTTACCAACATGGATTTTAAAAGTTTTTGTTGTAGTGCAGGTTTGCCTTGGGTGAGGGGCCTTTCGCCTAAAAAAAAAAAAAAAAAGAAAAAAAAAATTCTATTACGCGGGTAAAACAAACACCATTTTATTCATCGGGGGGTTGGGGGGTAGATGAGGATTGGGGGTCGATTAACTTTTTTTTAATTTTAAAAATTGCATTTGTATGTTGTACCTATTGTATAAAAAGAAAGAAAGGTAAAAAGGCTCGTTTTTTACAAAACCCAAACGATATCATGAAAAATGATATTTAATGAATTTATTAGTGTCGCGTGCACGTGCACGGGGGGTGCGTGTGCGCGCGTGCACGTGCACGGGGGGTGCGTGTGCGCGCGTGCACGTGCCTATCATTTATTTCACATTTTTAGCTTGTATCGCTTATTACTTTTCGAATTTGTTCTCTTTTTTTTTCTTTCTCAAGATTAGTGCACAAAATTTCATTGCGATAATTTAAAAAAAAAAAAATTTTTTTTTTGTACATTTTGTGACTAATTTCGCACGATAAATTTATATGTCAATTAGTCACAATGAGGAACAAACAACAATAAGTTAATTGTTAATTAATTAATTTGCAATCAATCAAAACAGTTGCTAATTTTATTATTATCATCATCATCATTATTATTATTATTATTATCATCATTATTATTATTATTATTATTATTATTATTATTATTATTATTATTGTTTGCTTTTCAATTGTTATCGTCGTAATTTTTTTTTTTTTTAAACGAATAACGAACGCATCGAAATTTTTCGAATCGAGTATTAGAGTAAGAAATTTTCGTCACAAAATTTCCTTTTTTTAGTTTTTCACTTTTTTTTCTTTTTTCTTATTTTTAAAGGGAGCCTTTGAACAAAGTAACAAAAAAAAAATAATAATAATAATTTTTTAAATGAGGAATGATTTATTTTTAGACATTTTAAGGCATCAAATTTTTCGTACACGTGCACACACTTGTATCTATTGTACTTCTTTATTCACGAAGCAGTTTTTTTTATATATATATATATATATATAAGCATAAAAGAAATATTATTATTATTAATATTATTAATATTACACGTATAAAAATGAATTTTATTATTGATGATGATAATAATAATTAACGTATAGGTCATGTTTGCACTCTCGAATTTTTCGTCGAGAAGAAACGAGATTTTATTTTATATCCTTTCTTCCATTATAATCTTCTTTTTTATTCATTTTTTATTTTTTTTTTCCTTTCGGTTTTTCTTAGCAGAACAAAAACAAAACAAAAAGTTACCACGAACGGTTAATTTTTTAAACACATCGATTACACACGTTTGGTAGGCATGATAGCTTGAATCTCTCTCTCTCTCTCTCTCTGTCTCCCTTTCTCTCTATTTCTCTTTCTCTCTCTCTCTCTCTCTCCAATCACACTTTTTTTCTTTTTTAAACACTCGAAACGTGCCATTATTCCCTTTATAATCGATTATGTATAAATAAATTTTTCTTCTTTTCTATAAAACAGTTTGTTGGTATGTGGTTCGATCGATGAAATTACATATCAAAAAAAAAAAAATTTTTTTTTACAACAAACAACTCACAAACATTTTTCCTTTTTTTTTTTACGTGTTTGTACGATGGGGGGATAGGGGGTGAGATGGGGCGGGAGGGAAGAAGAAAAAAAATCAAAGGAAGAAAGAAGGAAAGCACTTTCGATTTTTCTTTTTTTTTATTTAATTTTTTTATTATTTCCTTTGATTTTTAATAAATTTTTTTTTTTTTGGTACGAAACGAGCAAGTTTAATTAACAATTATTATTAGTAACAAGTAATATTAATGAAATAATAATAATAATAATAATAATAATAAGTTTTAAGTCTAATAAAGTTTTTTTTTCTTTTTTTTTTATGTGTGAAATTATTTTTTTCAGGCATTCCTTTTTAATCGTATCGTATTTTTTTAAATAATTATTATTATTATTATTTTTTCTTCTTATTTTTCCCCTTTTGTGATTATTATTATTATTATATTTTCTTACCGTAATTTTTTAAAATTTTTTTTTACAATAAGAAATAAATGTTTTAAAGAGAAACAACAACAACAAAAAGTCCTTTTTTTGGGGGCGAAATTTATTATTATTATTATTAATATGGATTTTATTTTATTATTTTTAATTTTTTTTTTTTTTTTTTTATTATCATAATTAGAATAAAGTCGTCGTCGTCGTCATTATTATTATTATTGTTATTTAAATGAATTATATTAAATAAAAACTAATGATGATGGAAAACATTTATTTTTATTTATTTATTTATTTTTTATTGTGAGTATGATACGTTTCTCTCTCTCTCTCTCTCTCTCTCTTTCTCTCATGGATTTAATTCAGAGGTAATTCGTTTTTTTTTTCTTTTGTAAACTCGTGTCGTTTGCCTAAAAAAAAAAAAAAAATTACACGAGTTTTCAAAAAAAAAACAAAAAATTAGGCAGCCCTTGTTATTAAGATGTTGGAAAGTAATGAATTGAATTTTTTTTTTTTTTGCGTTTGAAAATTTGTTTATTTTTTTTTTTTTTTATTTAAACAAGACAAAAAAAAAAATAAAAGAAAAGAAAGGAAGGAAGGAAGGAAGGAAAGAAGGAAAAAAAAAAAAAACAATTTTTTTTTTTTTTTTTTGAATGATTCGACAAGCATTTTTCATTGTTCTGTATAAAAAATATTTGACACGATATATACTATTTTATTTATTTATTTATTTATTATTATTATTATTCACTGAATCAGCTTAGGTTTGGACGTACGTCGTACCTGGTTATTTAATTTTTTAACAACATTTTTTTTTTTTTTTTTACACAATTGTTTTGTTTCAAAAAAAAACGAGCCTGGGTTTTTTTTTAATGGCGACGTCAGCCATTTTGCATTTTGCATAAATTTTTTTTTTTTTTTTAATTAATTAATTTTATTTAATATAATAAATATTACGTAGTTTTTTTTATTTTATTAATGAATTATTACACACATACACACATCGTAGTTATATGTTAAATAAAAAATGAATGAGAGAGAGAGAGAGAGAGATTTACAATTAAAGGTGAATATCACGTTTTTTTTAAATAAAAAAAGACAATACAATTTAATTTAATTTAAAAAAAAAAAAAATTTTATTTAAAATTTAAATTATTATTTACTTATACTTTTTAGTAGGAGAAAATCTATGAAATGATGGAAATGAATTATTTAAAAATATAAAAAATAAATAAATAAAATAAAAAAAGAAAGAAAATGATGGTGATGATGATGAGTGTGTAGGAGAAGGAGAAAAACGACAAAGTCGATGATGACGTAATTGGTTCAATGGAGGAAAAATTTGTCGTGACGAAATGTGAGAAAAAGGCTGATTAAAAAGGTAGAAAAGGTTTTTATTTTATTTATTATGCCTTTTTCCGACAAAAAAAAGGAATCGTTAAAGTCACACGTGCACGGACCACGCACACTTTTTGGAAAAATGATGATGGATTGTTATTAAAATTTGGAAAAGTTAATCGTTCGAGTAAGTCAGTGACGTCATCATTTGTTTTTTTTAAATAATCCAAGAATTTTTTTTTTTTAAGTAAATGATTTGGTTTCAGGTGTTGTTGCCACGTCAAAAAGGAGATAAGAAAGTAATCGAAATGTTTTGTCATGCTCATGCATGTTTGAGAGAGAGAAAAGAAACGATCAGAATCGAAAAATGTCGAAGTTGTTTACAGAGATAAATCATAGCGAAAAAGGAAAAAAAAGCTTTCAATTGAGAAAAGAACTCGAAGAGACAACGTAGAAGAATCGTTTGATAATTTAAATTCTGGACAAAAAAGAAGAAGAAGAAGAACACAAAGTCGTTAAAAAAAAATTCAAATTTTTCATTTGGCGCGTCTTCATATTATAGCTATTGTTTACCAGAGGTGTGAATTATATATTTCGAGTTTCGAAAATATATCGATTATATCGATTCAAACCGATCATCGGTTTGAATTATAAATGCCGTTGAAAATAATACCAAGGAAGCAAAAGTGCGACAAAAAGAAAACGAAAAAAAAAACAATAATCGACGGGATAACATGTTTTTTTTTTTTTTAATTATGTTATTGTTGAAAATTTTATCGTTTGCGGTGTGAAAAAAGTTTCGACATAACCAAAGTTTTATTTTATTTTATTTTTTCAAATGAAATGAAATCGACGAGAAAAGGTTTTTTTTTTTTTGAAAAACGTTTTCTGTCCATTTGTCGACATTTGATCAAAACGAATTTTTGTTAGAAAAAAAAAAAATGTTTTGAAAATGTTTATTTATTAGGTAAATATAAAAATTTTTATTTTTATTTATTGTTTTTTATTTTTCTACTTTTCTTTTTATAAAGAAATTATCAGAAATACAGAATAACGAGGAAAGGTGTTTGGTTTTCGATACAAAAAAAAATTAATTAGTAGTAATTAAAATTTTATTTTTTTAAATTTTTAATAAATACATAATACATATTATTAATTATATAATGTAAAAAAATACAAGTTGGATTTGTATCACAACACTTAGCATTGGCTTTTATAATTTTTATAAATGTTATTCTTGTACATTATTTTAAATACATGTAAATGTCGTAACTAAATTTAGTTGTTAAAGTCATGTAAAAACAAAAGTAGAAAAAATATTTACAAGCATTGATTAACAAACTACAAAGGCTTAAGTTTTAAAATGCTAATAAATGATAATAGATTTTTTTTTAAATAACAATAATGATAATTGTGAACTATTAAAAGTATCGAGTTGAGCTAAATATTGTTTTATCCAGTATCTGTTGAACATGGCGAAGAATCTTCTTTGCTGTTTGTAGCATCATCGCTTGATGATACTGCAAATTCAGGAATTGATTCCTCTATAAATAAAAATTAAATTATTATTTTGTTAAAAAAAATTAACTTTAATGAATACATTAAGGTGTGTTAAGTGCAAAAAGTGCAATCCTTTTACACAAATTATTTGAATGTAATATTTTACCTTTTTTCGGTTCGTCTTCAGTCTTTTGCTCTTCTTTTACTTCATTTAAAGATGATGTAATTTTACAAGCCTCTGTTAATTTGAAAACAAAAAAAAAATTGGTTAAATTGTATGTTTAATTAATTTATCAACTTCAGGATATCAGGTTTGTAATTGAAAAAAAAATTTTTTATTAACCTTCATATGCATTAGGATAAGCGACACCAATTTTTTCTTTAATGTTTTTAATTTTTTTAAAAACATAATTTAAATCCTTTTTCATTGTTATGAGTAAATTAATATGTTTTTTAAAATCAGTCGAAGCTAATTTAAATCTGTTGTTCGACAGATCAATACAATTGGTAAGCATTTCGTTTGTTTTTTCAAATCTCTGCAACCTAAAACATATTTTATAAATAAATATTTAAATTTGAGCTAAATGACATCGACTAAATTTTTTATTTATTTTATTACATTTGTTTTTGAGCTCTTATCATTGATTCTACATCTTGTTGATCAACCATTCCAGCCAATCCTTGTACAAATACTTCAGATGCTGTATAATTTTGAAAACATTCTATGCTAACACTTTCACTTTCTGGGGTATTTTGAAACATTTTACATAAAAATATTTTTTATTTCTCTAAAGGATTACAAATAAATATGATAAAATAAATATTTTGATAAGGTAATGTAAGGAGTACTGAATGTAATAACGAGTATTTTATAAATAAATAAAAAAATAAATCAAAGAATGAATTTTAAAATTGTAAAATTGCTTTATTAATGATATTTATTTTTGATATTCACATTGCTTCCACCATAAAAAAAACATAATATATTGGTAATAAAAAAATAAAATTTAAATATTCATTAAAGCAGCCATTTTAAAATTAGTGTAAATTTGGCAACATTGAATTACATTAACAAAGTTAGGTTAAAGTCATATTCACATGAGTAAGATATGTATGTAGATAGAATAAAAATTTTTTATTATGTCAGAATCAGCTGACATTTGGGAAGATTTTTTAAAACTTCCTTTAGAACCTCCTTCCAAACGAGAAATATGTTCTCAATGCAGGTAAATATATTTAATAAAATCATTTGAAAATTTTTCAAATTTGTATATTTTGTAATTTTAAATAATCATTTTCAGAAGGCCTAAAATAGTATGCTGGTGTGAAGGTTTACCAAAAGAACCCATCAAACCAAAAGGTCGTGTTATTCTTTTACAACATCCAGCAGAAGAAAAAAGATGTTTAAAAACAGCTCCAATGTTATCATTGGCATTGCATCCTGATCATTGTCTTATTTTTAGAGGGAAAACTTTTCCTAAAAGGTAAGTAGTTATAACTTTATTTCAATTTTTTGTTTTTTTTTTTGTGTTTTATTTTTGTTTGATTTTAACTATTAGCAAACATGAAAATTTATCAAATCTTTTAAATCATCCGAAAACACTTTTACTTTATCCGACAATTAATTCGATTGATATTGAATCTATAAAACCCATGAGAGAAGATAATGAAGAGCCTTATAATTTAGTTTTAATCGATGGCACTTGGCCTCAAGCAAAAGCAATGTTTAACAACAGTCCTATTTTACATAAATTAAAACAAGTTAAATTAAGAGTTGGTGGTAATAGCGAATATGTAATTAGAACACAACCCACAGAGGGATGTTTATCGACTTTAGAAACAGCTGCAAGAGCTCTCAGTATTTTAGAAAATAATCAAGAAATACAAGTATGTCAGATTAAGAAAAATTATTATTTTTTATCCTTTCGCATAAAATTTTTTAATTGCATTACTCATTTTTTATTTTTTAGAATAAATTATTACAACCACTCTATGTTTTGTGTAATTATCAATTATCTCATGGTGCTGTCATTCATCAAAGCAAAGAATTTTTAATTAAAAATAATAAATATCCGAAACAAGTTGGTCAAAGACTTAACAAACTCCTTAAGAGAGCTGATAACCAACGACAAAAAAGTGAAACTCTCGTACAACAATTTTAAATTTTGTAATCGTAGAAATAATTTAAGGATTAAAAAAACAATTAAAATATTATATTTGTAAAAAAATTTTTTTATTGTTGAAATTGAAATTTATAAAAAAATAATAATAATAAAAATAAATATAGTAAAAAAGAAAAACAATTTTTATGTTTCCATTACTTTTTCGACAATATTAATTGATTGTAAAAAATTGGTTATCATTGAAAATAATAATTATTATAATATAAACATTAAATATTTATAAAAATTCATTGATTGATTGATAATATTTTTTTTATTTTTTTGAAAAATTTCAAAAATAAATCTCATTCTTTAATGTATATATGTATATATAATCATCAAATACAACACTATCAAAATATTTACTATTTAATTGATATAATATACTGTAAATAAAAAAAAAAAAAAATGTCGGTAAAAAATGTCCACAGTTGTACACTCGAATAATTGATTTAAAAATTTCTAGCAAATGATGGAGGACTGGGATAATTGATATCCAATTGTCGAAATTCGTAGGAACATTTGTTTCGTTCAGTAATCGATCCCAATTCGTGATAAATTAATGCCTGAAAAAATAATTTATTCATATTTGTCATTTTAAATTATCCCAAAAAAGATTATTATTATTATTTACTACAACAATAAAGTTTTTTTTCACCTTTAAATAAAAACAGTGTTTGACTCGTACGTGATCTCTTGCTTTTTTCAACCAATTTTCCGCAAGGGATATCAACGAAATGATTTGTTGTAAGTTAATTCCTTTTTGTTTAGAACCCACAGCCAGTTTGCATCGTGCCAGTAATAGTAAGGCTCTACCTCTTGCTTGCACGCTACCGTGGGATAATACTGTCGGCAATGAGGCTTCCGTCAAACGAAGAGCTCGACTCGATAAACCTAAACTCAACTACAAAAAGGTAATTATTATTTATTACACGTACGTACCTGGAAAACTTTGAAAAAAACAACAAAAAAAAAATTTATTGTCACACGGCAATAAAGTGAAGAATACATACTTGAATGTTGGCTATATGTAAAGTAACGAAAGCGGCTAAATGATGTAAATAATATGTTTGAGCTAGTCCTAAAGCATAAAATAAACATCCTAGGGCTTCACCTGGATTAAGAGTTCCAGCAGCTGCTATTAAAGCCCTAACTTTTAAGGGAATAAGTTCGGGATCGGCATACCATCCATCTCTACAATAGGATAACGTAGCTTGAGCTAATTTCATTGAATCAACATCATCTCCCAACCACTGAAGCATCCATGACTTTCTTTAAAAGAAAAATTTTAATTTTTAGATTTACAAAATTTCAAACTTATATGAAAATGTAAATTTTTTTTTTGTTTACGAGTTTCATTAGTGTACCTTAAAATACTTTCCCACGGTTTGATAGGAGCCAACATTGCAATAGCTTTTCTAGCATCGTTGAATTTTGATTCGTTTACCGAAAACATGTACAAAATCTCTTGAAATCCAGTCATCCAAGCCGTTGCTTCGTTTTTTGGAAATTTTTCTTGAGCTTCATTTAATATTGCCAAACCGAAATCATATTCACCCTAAAGAAAATAATTTGTAACAGTGTAAATTAACTTTATATGTATCAAAATCAAAACTTTACTAAAGACTAATACCTGTTCTGCCAAAGCTCTTGCAACGTTACACATGGCTATGCAAACAGAAACTTGTTTACTATCAAGTCTCAATAACTGTTGACTACACAAGGACGCCATATTCGAGTGACCATATAATGTCCATAATGCTCCTTTTAAGCAATATGAATTAGTTGCCAATTCGTGAAGCATATGCTGACAATTTAAAACATCACTTCTCATTAAAACCTAAAAATGTATGTCTTAAATAAGAAAATGTTTAAATATTTTACCTAATGCTTATAATTTTAAAAATATTTTTCTCATTACAGACTTAAAATTTTTGGAATCGAACTTGAACAAGTTATTATTGGTTGTCGAATATTTGGAGTGGTAAACATTTTGCAGATTACGACACAGTAAGTAAAGCAACATTTTAATATCAAAACAGACTTTAAATTTAAAAGATAGCAAAATGCCTTATTCACTTACATCAAAAACTACAGATGGTTTGCCCCCTGTTAAACCACAATATTTAGTGTATGATTGAACTCCTAAAGACATTAAATAACTTAATCCTAATTCAGTGCATTTGGCCATAGATCTTTCAATTAGAGCTTCTTTATTTTCTGAAGTTAAAATGTATAGCCATGCAAGAGAATGCTGCAAGCAAACACTATCTCCTGCTCTATGTGCTAATTTTATAGCTTCTTTAAGAGCTGCATTTGCTTCTTCCCTAAAATAAAAATCAACTCAAGTCTTAGAAATAAAATGTATGCATATACATTTATGCAGTGTATATATATACATTAATACCTATGACCAAAAGATGCATGCATTGCAGACAAACTTAAACTGGCATATCTAAAAGTTTTTTCATCAGTGTATGATGTGTTAGATAGATTTGCATTAGATGATGTTTTATCTAGAGGAAATAATGCTCTATCGAAACAATGATGGAGGCTAGTTTTTGCTCCACACAATTCTTTACATCTAACACAGTTTAAAAATGTTAAGAAATGCTGAAAAGTAAATAATATGAACATGAAAAAAATTTTATTTTACACTAAGGTAGTTATTTAATAAAAAAAAACATACAGCTTCAGCAAAAGAAGGATTCGACAATAAAAGTTGAGTCACTTGATTTTGAAGTGAAGCCGGATTTTCCGATGACAACTTGGCAACCTCTTGTGCAAAAAATAATTCAGCTTGTTTTTTGGACCACTTGCCAGCATTGTCATCTTTCCTAATAAGAATATTTTTATTTGGATCTGCATAATGTTCATACTGTTTATATAACTGAACTACCTATCGAAATAATAAAAGGTTTTTAAAAAAATATTATTTAAAAACAATTTGTAAAAACTTGAATTTATTTTTAAACAAATTAAAAATTTCTGTGTTTGAATCGATGAAAAAAAAATTGATGTACCTGAGAAAATGGAAGTTTATCAAAATATAAAAGCACTCTTCGTAAAAATAAACCTAAAGCACTAGATTTGGTTACTTGTCCAATAGCTGTCCCTATTAGCCTGCCTGCACTTCCAATCATGTCAAGCAATGCTCCAACTCCATCTTGTAAAAGTTCCTTAACTTGTTCGAAAAATTTTTCATGCAAAATTGGTGATATTTTATATTCTAAAGTAAAATATATTAACATAGTTTTTATTAATTATCACTTATAAAAGACTTATACTTATTTATAATTAAAATTTAAGGGTACCTGAAGTTTTTCCAGAAAGAAGATCTTTAAGCGAATTAAAATCCATATCAGGATTTTGTATAAGTTTCAATGACAACATACAAAATCCTCGAATATAAGTAGGATTATTAACTTCTTCTATGCCACTCTCCATATTTATTTCATTAGAAACACCTAATAAAATTTATTTACAATTTATTAATTTGTTAGCACTAACCCAACATTTTAACCTTTAAACTTATTAATTAAATCCTTTTTAATAAAGCATAATTAAAAACTACTTACTTTTTTCCTTTAATAAACATTGTTCTTTAATAAAAATAACGATGGATATTTTATGAGGTGTAATAATTTCCCTATTTTGAGCTTTATTATTATTGGAAGGAAAACTAAACACATCTTTATTTGCAGCCATTAAATTTGATTACAAACATCATTGTAAATATAACTTTGAGTGTCTTTCACTTTTTTACAAATCAAAATAGTGAAAAGCTATCCTTTTAAAAATTATTAAGTTTATTTATATTTTTAATAATATTAATAAATTTTCAAATTCGCAAATAAAATAAATCAAAAGTATAAATATAAAAAGTATAAGTAAAAGACATTGAATTGCGTAGTACTCGTAGTTGTTTAACGGTTTTTTCAACGAAGTTAATATAAAGAGGAGATATGACAACATTTTAAAATGAATAAAATAAATTCATTTTTGTTTGCAAATTTTTATATTTTTTTCTTATGTGATTGATTACAGTTTCATAATGTCTTTCTTCATAATGTCACTGATTGTGCCACGGGAAGTCCGTACCAAGCTCTCGCGGGTCACGGAGGACACGTATTATTATTGTACAACTGGGACGGAGCCATGTTCGTATCCGGAAGTCAAGATAAAACGGTTCGATTTCGGGATTTGAGAGTACGCGGATTCGTTAACATGGTTACCCCGGTCACGGCTCCCGGAAACAGGTTTAAAAAAAAAATTTTTTTTAACGTCAAAAACGCATTTCCGGCGTTCGTTGTTTTGATGAATACAAAAATCTACAACCGAAAAATTAATTAATTTTTGTTTTTACTACGATTTCAGGACTCACCAGTTGCTGCCGTTTGCGTCGATCTATCTGGACGACTCCTGGGATCCGGACACGAAGATTCCTCGTGCGTTTTGTACGATATTCGCGGGGGTAGAAACGTTCAATGTTTCAAACCTCATTCGTCAGACATAAGATCGATAAGGTTTTCACCGAACGCTTATTACCTACTGACCGGAGGATACGATAACAAACTCGTCTTGAAGGATTTACAAGGAAGTATTATTATTAATAACGTCGTGACAATAATGATGAATGATGACGTCATTAATCGGTTTGTTTTTTTTGTCTTCAGGGGATTTGACGTTGCCGCTTCCCAGCGTCGTCGTCGCCGCTCATCACCAAGACAAAGTTATTCCTGGAAGGTGGCATCCGACAGAATTTTCATTTTTGAGCACGAGCGCCGACAAGACGTGTACTCTGTGTGGGCTTTACTCTCACCATTTGAAACCACCGTAAAACACCGAGCGTTAGGATTTCGCGAATATGAAATAATGTTTTCTCTCTCTCTCTCTCTCTCTCTCTCTCCTCACGTGAGCTCTCTTAAATTTGTAAATATTATTATTATTATCATCATTCTCAGGCTGTTGTACTCACCGTCATAGTATTTCCAGAACTTGAAAGTAATTTTAAAAAGAAAAGAGCATCGTAATATCATAATCACCATTTCAGTCAGAAATTTCTAGAATTATTTTTCTTATTATCGGAAAAGTGTCATCGCAACTAACCGAACGAACGCTTTTAGCGCTTTTCGGCAATAAAATATAAATGAAAGACGAAGAATTGGAGGAAATCGTTAGCTAAAGCATGAAAAAGAGAAAAAGGTCGGAAAAACCGGGAGGGAAAAAAAACGGGAACGTGTTCGTATATATATATACATAAATTTGTAAATTTTTTCGTTAGGTGTCACACGGATCGAACGCCAGAACGCATCGAACGTCGTCGCGCGCGGAATCCAAAAGTTTTTCTATTTTATTTTTTATGTTTCGTTTTCAGCAGTTATTATCACAAAAAAAAATGAGGTAGTGGCAGGGGAGTAGTGGGGGCCGGGAGTTAGTGGCGTGCTCCTGTAATCCAGCTACTTGGAGGCCGGGTGCAGCAGATGACTCTGATCGTGTAATTCGGATCCTACTTGTTGCTCATTGTTTTAAAACGGTCGGCGGGAGCACCTCGGGGTCCCACCTAGTGTTTTCGTCGGCCAACAGGGTAATTAGAGATCATTTTTCTCATTCAAGAATCATAACATATAATTTGTCGGTAGGATAGGATATTATTTGTAGGTAGTCCCTTAGGGCACCAAGGACCCATAAAACATACTGGCAAAAAACAGTGAAAAAAAAAAAAAATCCTTACCAATGAATATGGATAAATCAAGAACTCCTGCTATATCCTTTATTAATGAAGACAAAATCTGCGTAGGCAAAAAAAAAAACCTGAACATTTAGAGGATTTGTTACTTTAGGAAAAAGAACAATGAACGACGGGAAAAATACTATTATAACATATTTTGCCATATTTTTAGTGTGAAATTCTATTTTAATTTTAATTTGAAGGTAGAAATAGCTCGGGGGGTCTTCGTGCGGGACGCTGGCCATTAGGGGTACGCCCTTTCGTTGGGGAACCGAAACTGGTAGGATGGGGGGAACCTCCGCGTGCCAGCCGGGAACGAACGGCTCCGCCAGTAGCTCTCGGTAGGCATGGGGAAGTTTCTCCAAATTAATTTAAACAGGTGCAGGGGGCTCAGGACCTTTTGCTAAACTTGATAGGGACGTGGAGCATCGAGGTCGCGATGATCTTGGAGCCTTACGTCTTTCCGTCAGGGGGAGGGGGTCGTCGCGCCGGTACTCGGTTCGCATCCGAGGTCGGCGTGGCCGCGATACTATTCTCGAGCTCGGTCAAAACGCCGAGGCCTCGAGAGCTGTCCCGGGGAGAGGGTTTCGTTCTGGTGGGATGGGGAGACACGGTACTGGCGTCGGTTTACGCGTCGAGCGCAAGCGGCCGAAATACTGGTGGACGGACGAGATAGGGTCGGTTCGGGGATAGGAAACGGGAACTCCTCCGCCGTGGAGGACATTACAAAGAAATCGTGACCAACGCAATTTTGCGTTTTTACTCGATGGTAAGTAGGTAGAACGCGGATGAAACAACAGAAAATTTTTATAAACTTTTTACATTTGTCTTTACTAATTGTTATTATTTTTTTTTTCTTTCATTTAGAAAAGGACCGGTAAAGACGAGCCGGTACATTCAGGAGTGACAGTATCAGACAGCGAAACAAGATGATGTCTACCTTTTGGAGAGGAGAGGAGAGGTGACAAAAACGTTTCTGTTATATTTTCAAATAATTTAAATAATGGCTACGATTTCGTTTTGGAAAAAAGTACGAAAAAGCGAGAAGGCAAGAAGAGGAAGGAGGGAGGAAGGGAGGGAGGAAAAGGCGAGAAAGAGGAATAATTAGAAAAAATCAGGTTCGGTTGTTTGTCGTCATAGAAGGGACCTCGTTTTAAACCTGTAATTAAATTTTGAGTGATGATTGAACGTTTGATTTATATTTGGCCACGTTTATATTATATACATATATATGTATAAAATATATGTATGTATATTTTTCTTAATCGTGACACATAAACTACTAAATTTGCCACAAACGATTATTAAGTTTTCCGTTTTTTTTTTTTCAAATTTATAATGATGATAATAATAATAATAATAATATTTGTATTTATTCTCTGTATTATAATATATGTATTTATTCTCTCAAATATATTATTTTAAAAAAAAATAAAATTTGTTTTTTTTTTCCCACCATGCATGTTTGGTTATATCATTAATTTATTCCCATAAAATAAAAAGTTAAAAGAAATTTTTATACAAATTGGATTATGCAACTGGCAATACGCGAAACCCGACAAATTGCATAACTCAAAAAAGTAAGGCGAACAGAAAAAATCGAAAAAATTCAAAAATCCTTAAAAATTGTGGTTATGCAACTGGCAATACGCGATAACACGACAAATTGCATAACTCACAAAAGTAAGGAGAACGAAAAAAAATCAAGAAAAATGAGTGAAAAATTGGTTCCGAGTATCAGTAAAACATAATATTTAGGAGGTCTCAATTTTTCGATAGTTTCGTTTCGCTTCAACGCCTTGGATTTAGAGTATATGCAATTTTCAATACAATTTTTAACCAATGGCGTGCTTTGTATACATAATGAGAAATTAATGGCGCTCGCCATTCTTACTCGTGATTGGTCAGAAAAAAAATCACATATTTTTCATGTTTAACTTATGTATTAATAGGAATAAAATTGAAATTATGAAATAACTATGTTTTAAAGCAAAATTGTGTATATGTATATATTAAATGTGACCAAGGATGGAGAAACGAATTTAAAATTAAAAAAAATAATAATAATAAGGATAATAAATAAATTTTATTTAATTTTTATTTATTTATTTATTATTATTATTATTATTATGTAAAAATATTTATTCGTGGCCGTATTATAAAAGCATGTTCGGTTGTTCATCTCGTTGTGTGTTATGTTCGGTTCGTTCTTTATATTATAAGTCGCAAATTAATACTAAAATTAATTTACAGTTTATTTCTTGTGACGTGTTAAATGCTCAGCATAGACTTTTTCACAAAATAAAAGTAAAGGTTATTTTAACTCGCGAACAAACACTTAGAAACTATCACTAAACCAAAACTAAAATTAAAGAAACGGATAAGAATTCAATATAACAAAACGAAGAATCAAAAGAACGCGTGCAAAGCTGTGAAGCTTCCCTTTATAACCTCAATTTTTTGTTAGTCAATTGTTTCGAATGTCCAACAATCTAAACGAGCAAATACTTGCAAATAAAACAAAAGAAAGAGTTTCTAGAAGCTTCGCTTCTAAAGAAGAACAATTTGAGTTCATCATTAGTCTTTTGTTTATAAAAAAATTGAAAAATGTGAACATTGAGTATGGGATCATAACAATATATATATAAATACAAGGCCTAAACTGTATTCTATTACTGGAACAGCTAATGTGCTGTTGGAGTTTAACTTATTTCTTCCATTCAGTTCCGACTGTAATATAAGCATCAATCTTTTAAAATATTCTTTCTTTAATCGAGGTTTAATTTCTTTGTTGGCTACCCCAAAATTTTCTTCAATCCCCAGATATTTGTATGTTGATCCAGGGTCCAATTCTTTAATAAGTTCTTCTTCGGAGTCTTCTATATTTTCCTTCCGTTTTAACTTTCCTCTGGCAATATTAACTCTGGCACATTTTTCCAAACCAAATTTTATGTTGATGTCAGAGGAAAAAGTTTGAACCGTCCTTAACATTTTATTTAACTCCTCTTCATTTTTTGCATAAATTTTTAAGTCATCCATGTACAACATATGGGTGATTTTCCTGCCTCCCGGTATCAACTCATATCCTTGATCCTTGATATTAAGCTGTCTGGACAGAGGGATTAGAGACATGCAGAATAATAATAACTATTATTATTATTTAACGTTTGAAATTTTTTTTTTTTTTTGTTAACCCAGGAGAAATGCAGCATTTCGCACTAACCTCTCCCCACCCTGTAGCAGGAAGAGTGTTGGGGAACTCAGACGAAGTCACTACCCAACTAAAACTCCTGGATGTGCTTTGCTGCACTTTTTCCTGGGGAGTAGGGGCAGTCGCAGGAGTATGACTCCCATGTCAGCCTCAACCTCAACCCTTCTCTCAAAGCCGGAATCATCAGATTCAAACTTGCAAAGGTGAGAGCAGATTCCCCTCTGGCATAGGCCGTTGCAGAGATCTGCTCCACCCAATTGGGATACTCCCCTCAACCATGTGGGAGGCATTCCCGAGGTATCACTTTCAGTCCTGCCTCCCATAATTACACATGTACATATACATACATAATATAATACAGTATTCATGTTAGAGGGAATTCATATTCAGATAAATGAGAAACATTTGATCTTTCAGCGACTATCCTACGATAATCCCAACAGTGAAAATTTCTTTCGTCTAATTGAAGATATTTTGTGCAAAGGTTTAATTCTTTGTTCCAATCAGGTTTGGGTAAATTGTCCAAGATCCATATTCTATGATGCCAACTACCATAGGATTTTGGATTAACTCTCAGGCACTGTTCTGTCAATTGTAAATCTTTTTCCAATAGTTTTTGATAACTTTCCAAATCCTCGTCGTTTTTCAATAACAAAAATATTTCTCTTCTATAATTCCATAATGTTATTATATCCGGATTTCCTGTAATAAATTACCGGTGAGATTTAAACCTTCTTCGTCTTGAATTTGTGAAGAACGTTTTTCTGAATGAATTTTTTAATGAATATTTGATTCATTATTTTTTTAAATTCTATTGCCTTTTTCTGTTTCTCTTGCCTTGCGATGTCTT